TTGGTCATCATCATCAGCAGAACGTGTGGATGGAGTTTGATCTTGCTAAATCAAGGGTTGGATTTGGTGCTGATGTCAGATGTGATCAAGCTAGTCAACGGCTCGGATTGCGAGATTGATAATCTGTGGAGAAAAGGAACATCTTCTAGTTCATATATGTATTTTTTTTTTTGGTGAGGTTAGCTTTATATACAGCAAATATCTTTCATAGAGTTCTTTTTGTGAGAAAAATCTTCATTTTCTTTTACTAGCTAAATAAACATTTGGCGGCCATGCTAAGTGGCTCTTCGGCCCAAAATATTTAGTTCTAGTAGGCCCTGTGGCCTAGTATTCGTTGGGCTCTAGAAGATGGACCAAGCACAAGTAATGAACTACAAATTTCAACATATTATAATAAATAATCTCTCAATTCCAATATCACACTACTTCCTAACAAAAGGAAATATACAGTATAACCTCTATAAATTAATACTCGATAAAATAATATACACTAAATATCTCTCTAAATTAATATAGTTTTATAGTCCTAAATTGAATTTTTGGTTCAATTAGTATATATCTATAAATTAATATCTCTCTAAATTAATAAAAAAATAAAATTTTGGTGTAATCCCAACATTATTAATTTATTGAGGTTTCACTGTACTTATGCGTATCGACAAATGCATATGTTTAACTAGAAATAGTTTTTAAGATCTGTGGTTTGTATTGATCATGTATTGTGTATGGGAAGTTTGAAAGATAAAGAAATAGTAATGACTTGGAATATATTGATTTTAATAATTTAATATCACCCCCCCCCCATCCCAAAAATGCAGCTATGAAATGCTCAGATAGTAACACGTTTCTTCGTGGAGAAATGATGTGAAAATTCGGATGTCTCGCCGGCTGATGTCTAAAGATGTTACTATCTATTGTGTCTTTTTTCTGGAGAGCCAATAAATATTGGGCCTAAAACCTATAATAGGACAAGAGAAGTTTATGTAGTGATGGAACGGATGTCTGAACAACGTGAAAAATTATCTCCAATCTATTTCTCAGTCGCTGTTGAGATAATGAAGTGCCACATGGAGGAAGAGTGGCGCGTAAACGCTTTTCTTAGAAGATCGCATGTTCCGTTGATAAAAATTAATGGATTTTATTCCAGGAGTATTGGAAAAACAATTTGTAATCGCATATCTTCTCTCAGATACACAAGGAATCACAAGCTAGAAAGGTTGCTAAGAAGATAATTTGAAATAAACAGCACTTAGGAATATAGGCACACATTCTTTCAGTTTGTTCGCTTTTATAGTCTAGTTCCCACTGTAACTCTTGCTCATCACTAGATCAATAAATTTGATATTCCATCAAAAAAAAATTATATAGCAAGCACAATTCGAAACACAAAAATTATGTGTTCTTGGCTTTTTATGAAAGTGAATTTATATTATTTTTGTATATCAGTTTATCATAATCTTCTTCTTCCACAAAATGAAATGAAGAGAAATTTCTTTGGTATATTGAATATAGACATACACATCATGACGCAGTGCCAGTGACTGATAAGGACTGCTCCAATTAATATGAATATGAAATTAGTAAGGATTATGTCAAATATAATACGGTTGGTCTTTGCCTATGTCAGACTCAACTTGGAGACCACCCCCCCCCCCCAATTCTTTGATAATTGCCTTTTCCAAAAACATGGAAAAAAAATGGATTCAATTTATTTCATTTTATTTGGAAATTTTAAATTTAGTTATAATCGTCTGAAGAAGTCTCTTGTATTTTATTTTGTTTTTGAACTTTATCATATTTTAATCGTGAAAACAAATACAACGGGGTACATAAAAAGACAAATCATATCAAGGAGACGTGAGGCTTGCCAGATGCTGGTGGGTATCCATATCTGCTCATGTGATGCTATCAAAGACCCATAATTTTTCTCCTTGAGCGGTTCTTTGAATTTCTCATTGTCTTTGATCTTTTCATTACCTACTTCTATTTTTGTCTCACATTAAATATAGTTAAAAGATATGTCGACTCATATATGTCCATGCATACACACGTCACACTCTTCGCATGTTTGCCATTAGACCTGGTTTGTCCATCGTTCTTAATAAGCTCTTAGCAATAATGAATTCACCGTTCGATGGTGATAACATGCAGTGAAATTCCAAAAAAAAAGTGAAGTGAAAACTTGTTGTAGAGAAAAATGACTAATATAGAGGTCTATGTGACTATGTCTCTTCTGGTACACGTATAACTTATCAGTTATCACACATGCTTTTGTCGTATGTCTCTTCTTGAACTAGTTTCCGGCGATATGTCCTTTTCTTGAACTCGATTATTTCACATTTGCCATATACTCACAAAATTGTATGGTAAACTTTTGATGTTTGACTATTTAAGTACTCAGGACTTTGGCAATACATGTTGATCTTAGTATAGCAAATAATGTTCTGAATGTAGTTATATATGTATGTATCCTCATCATCTGGATCAATTGTCTCTACTATTATTCATGATTGCGTGTCACGGATGTGATTGTTGACCAAACATGGACCCTAATGCCTACTTCGTTACATCTTGTATTTATTTCTAACAATTATTTCGGATCGTGGTTACACTTTTTCAAGAGCTTGAGAATAGTCTTGGGCCCTCTTATTATTTATTTATTGGTTTATAAGTATAAACGATCTTATAATGGTATCAAACTTCATAGAATTTGCAATACTCTGACAAATTAGAATGAAAAAGACACTTATGTCGCGTTACTCTAATTTTTCTTGCCACAATATCTCAACCATATGCGTAATTGGTATGTAGCTGCACTAGATTTCACTGTAAACCATAAAATATCACCAATCAAATTTGATACGAATTCATGTATAGTAGTACTACCTAATACCTATACACAATCAGTTCACATCGTATGTTTTCTATAGTAAAACAACTCCTCTAATGTAATTATGGAAGTTGTTATACATTAATTTATTCTAGTCACCAAATGGTTATATACGTGATACAATTATATGTAAGATTCACAATATTCATGTAGAAAGCCTTTATTTTTCGTCTCTACCATGTGACTGCTGCTTGAGGGATAATGGCTATATATGGCTCCAAAAACAAAGTTAGCCACACCTAAGGACGATTATTCTAAAACGAAATTAATACTACTCTTCGATTATAACTCTAGAATCTATTCTATATGGCATGGAGTAGCATTTCCTACTTCGTCGTCAAATATTTGAAAGAGAACAACATATATTATTGGTGTCTTATAGTGAAACAACGCGCATTTGGTATACATTGTTATTAGTTTTGGATATGTCGATCTGATAAGAAAAATACAGAATAGTATATATATAATCCTCAATAATTGTCCATAAAATATATAAAAAACAAGACGGCCACGAAAGAATAAAGTAAGTCAAATAGAATTGTCCGGAGCTCAGGATATGTCTATAATAATCCAAATTAAGCATGCTAATGAACAATCAAACGTTTTACAATCATTAAACAAAGATCCTTTTGGATTTGTGGGGATAACTATATGCTTTTTCTTTGCCATATTATAATTAAGATAGTTCCTCTTGATCTCGATACCTAATGAAATATTATTTTTGAAAAAAACAATTGTTTACATGTGTAAACATATCTAGCAAGATATTTCATAGAATTACACTTTTGAAAAGTGTTACAAGAACTTATCTGAAATTCTGTATTTATTAGTTGAAGTTGAATTTCATAATTCTTGACTAATTTGAGTATTTTACACTTCTGAAAAGTTATTGAATTAGTTCGAATGAACGTTACCAAAACAAATCTATAGTCTATGTTTTTCAAACCAGTTAACAGTCATCAATATTGATCAGTCGACTTTTTAGTATGAAATGCGTCATAAAATACAATAGCCTGAAGTGGTAAGGTCCATCGTAAATGGACAGAATTACATCATGTATTGATTTGGTGACTGTCTAAAACAGTTACCAGTAAATTTACTAATGAAGTAAACAGCGTCAGTAGTAAATAATACCCGTATTTATGTTTAAAAACAAAACATAATATGGCGACAAAATATAGTGTTACGACAAAAATTTATATATACCAGTATATAACCCATATAGATTAAAAATGTATACAAATATAGCATTAAGAGGTGTTAAAAAAAGATATAGTATAGAGTAGTCAGATGCATATGATCTCTGCAATGCAGAGAAGCCCGTGGTAAAAAACTACGAAAAACCACAGTTGTTAGTTTTGTATGTGAATTATTAACTATTTAATTTTGATTAAGTTCATATTTTTGTCTGTTTATTTAATTTATAACCTAATACTTTCAAAATAAAATTAGCAAAAAAGAATCAGTACAAATACATATATTTTTTTTTAAAGAAATCGGTACAAAGGTTATCGACTTATCATGCTGTAATTTATATGAATGGTATATACAATATAAAATTTAAAATACTTTAGATTAAAGTTTGTAGAATCTTGAAAGTTAAGTAGACCCACAGATAAATAACCCTATCTTCATTATATTAATTTAGATGCAGTATATGAAGCATATACGAATAAAAGGAAGACGTAATGTATTTTAACACATTTTGAATTTCTTGAACAAGTCTAATTTGGCCTCGTCTCAATAGATTATCAACTTGGGTTAACAATTTCAAAAGTTTAATATAATACCATTGGGCATAAACAAGAGAGTTTGACTGTAACTTAATGTATTAAAATTATTTAATCATATAACTGACATTAAATAATATATTTACATATACAAAACATATAAAAAGCGTAACAGATTAATATATACATTATGTAAGAAAAGGAAAAGAGAGAAAACTAATCGGTTTGTCAGACTAAAGCACACAAGATCCAAACATAGCTTAACTGTAACAATTCCAATGGAATCTTTCTCTCTATCTCTAGACTCTTTCAAGAAAGAGAGAGAGAGAGAGAGCAACGCCACATTCATCGTCGTTGTAGTCATCATCACAGTGAAAATCATTAATGAACATGAAGAAAAAGAAAAGCAACCAACAAAAACAAGTTCAAACACAAAGCTACTTCACTATTTTTATTGAATTATAGTATTATACAACTTTTCTGTCTTTTTTTTTTCTTGTTAAATTTCAGCACACAGAAACTGATCTTGAAGCACATGACCTCTTTCCAGAATCAAAGGCTGAGACATACAAATTACAAAACCTAAACCGATCTAAATAAGCAGAAACCACACGAACGTAGAACCCTTTATGTACATGTATATCTATCTACCTCTGTTTCAGAACAGAGCAAAGAGAGACTTCTGTTCTGTTTGGTTTTCAAGATTCAGAGTAATTATCTCTCCAGCAAATAAGCATGATCACGCAACGACGCATGATGTAGAAGCGAGCTCTCTGTTCTTTAACCAATCTCGCACACTTCCTCGTGAAAGCGCTTCTCCCCTGTTTATGTCTCTTCTTGTCGCCGTTTATGTAGAATGAAGAGGTCGCCGACGAGGAACGCGTGATCCTCGAGGAGCCACCACCGTTGAATCCGTCTTTCTTTGACAGCTTCCACTTCTCGAATCGCGGGGCGCTTCCTGATCGAGTAAGGCCGGATGATGCCATGTAAATGATCTCTCGGATTGCTTTGTGTGATCTCTCTCTCACCAACGAAGAACACTGGTACGAGTATGTGTTTTAATTCTTTTCTTGTGGGTTTCTTGAAAATTGATAAAGAAACAAACTTTGGGAGTTTCAAGATTTTATAGGAGTTTGGAGGATTTGAGTCAGCAAAGGAAGAGGGACTTGAGAGAAGTGTTAGGGTTCTGTACTTATAACCGATATTTAGAAACATATCTCCATCTAAGGAAAAAAAAGAAGAAAAAAAACAAATAATAATAATAAAATTATTGTTTTCTCTATATTTTATTTTGTTTTGTAGTATTGTTTTGTCTTCTTTTGTGATAAATAAAAAAATTAGAAGAGAATGCAGAGAGTTGTGGCAGTCGGTACTGCCTGGGGCCTCTGTTGTATGCCTCGGTCAGTCCACCATTGCCACTTTTTTATTGCTACGTAAGGAATTGTCTAAAAAACACCTCAATTTATTAAAAAATATCCAAACAGTTTACAAGTATTTTACAAAGTACTATTAGAACATTAGAAGTCTCTAATGGTGAGGTATTCGCAAATTTACTACTAATAAAATATTATTAATTTTAGCAACCACTTTATATAAATAGTTAACTTTCCAAAGTTCACCATCTATATGTTGATAAATGGAAAAGAATATCTTGCGAATATCCCATAATTTTTATTAAGATATTTTCTTTTGTTTTTTACTTTCATTTTTTATAATGAGAATCTTAAAGATACTTTCATTAGAGTTGTTTTCAGAAAATGATTGTTAGGATTTGATTGATAGTATATTATCATAAAAATGTTTTTTTATTATCCAATCAATATTTATCAAAAAAATTATCAAGAAAAACACTTACCTAATGATAATGAAAGAAACATTTAGAAAATTATTTACCGTATACTAATGCTCTCTAACTACTTTTTGCTCAATGTTTTTATATGAAATTTTTGGAAGAATATTTGCATTTATAATATATAAAACTTAAAAAAATTATATATATTTTTTTTTATTTTTTATAATAAAATATTTTATAATAAAAAAACTAAAGTTGTATTTTTACAAATAAAAATTACAGTTAAATATTTTAACTTTATTAAAAGAATAGTATTTCACATTTAAGATATAAATTAATTTATATAACTACACATATCATTTATTATTTTTAATAACAAACATAACATAATATATATTTAAATATTATAGTTATAAACATATATATATTATTTAGAAAATAATAGATAAATTATACATTTTAATTTATGATAATTTTATATATGAATTATTTACTACTTTACCAATAAACAAATAATAATAAATAATAAAATAATAAAATTAATATATATATATATATATATTTGAGAATTTCAATGGTAGAATACTAGAAATCCATTAATAAAGGTGTTCTTATATTTAGAATAATCAACATCTGATAGTAGTATAATATCATTATCTTAAGGCGTAATAGTAATTTCTAAATATATTGAACTAGAAATGCAAGGTTTGACTTCATAAACCAACGAAGTTTAGCGATAATATAAAAATTAGGTTTCTTGACAGATCAAAATTAAAAACTATGGGAATATATACTATTATTTCTAAATTTGCTTACTTGTTATATTCTCCATAAGTTTAGGTAATTTTGTTTATTTATTATATTTTTAGTAAATAAGATAATTCTTGTGAATTATGTTATTATTTTGAAATATATTTTTATATATAAATATTAAAATTTAAATTAAGATATAAAACAAATAATTTATTATTTAAATATAACTAAAATGAATTTATATTAATAATTTAATATTTTTCTAAAATAAGATAATTATTATGGATTATGTTGTTATCTTGAAAATATTTTTATATTATATAATTTAAAAGTAAAATAATTATCTATTAAATAAATATAAATCATCACTCAAGAAACATTATTTAAGAATTGAATTTGTTGATTCATTAAGTTCTCCATGATTTTATTTATTTTAATTATATGTCAGACTTTCTATAATCTTATATAATTATTATATAATTAAATATTTTTAGAAAATAAATAACTTATGCATTATTGAAAATATGTTTTTCTATTATAAATTTTAAAATTAAGATATAAATAATATAATTTAATATAAATAAAAAAAAATAGTTATAGAAATCTATTATTTTAAATATTTCTGATGATTGAGTTTTGTCATTGATAATTATTTGATGTTTGAGTTTTAATTTTTTGAAAACATAAATAATAACTTATTATGCTTATTTTTAAATTAATGAAACATCAACTAATAAATATTCATAAGAGAATTATGTCCGCAAGTGTGGATAAAACACCTAGTAAAATATTAAAGCAAATCTGAAAGACGGAATATAAATGCATAAAAATCAGTTTGAAAAGGGAAGGAAAGTGAGAAACTGGAGGATAGTAAGGAAGGATGGATGTAAATGCATCAAAGCAAATCTCAGTCGCTGACCTCCCTTTCTCTCTGCACCTATAACTGTGAAATACTTGCTCAGATCAGTTAATAATTGCACCAACAATAACGGAATAGTATTAAAATCAGTTATACTAAATGTATTTATGGTGAGGATCGTTACTTACCCAGATGCTTATTCACCTCTTTATTTACGGCGGTGAATTTTTATCACTAAAGAAAGATTACAAAATGAAAAATAGATAACAGGAATGTGATATTAGATGGAGACGTTAATAATCTGGTTTAGTATTTTAATGCTCGTTGACAAAAAAAAGTACTCCCTCCGTTCCCTAAAGATACATATTCTAGAAAAAAATTTGTTTCTAAAAGATCCATTTTTTACATTTTCAATGTATGTTTTATTAAATAATTGTAAATTTCAAAAAACTTAATTGCACTAATTGATTTTTTATTGGTTTAAAATTATGAAAAGAAGATAAATACAAAAAACTATGCAAAATTATTGTGTTTTATTAAAAAGTGTGAAAAAACTAGAATATGAATCTTTTAGGAACAGAGGGAATATTTTAATACTCATTGTTCTTTAATAATGTTTTCTCGCGTATTTTACTCTTTTACCTTAGTACATAAATAATTATACTAAATTATTTAGTAATTTATGTTTACATTTATACCTATAATCGTTTTATTTAAAATTTTCAGTGAAGATTAGACTGTTGAAGTGATGAAATTTGGATGTTGCGAATAGATAAAGAAAAATATATATCAACTTAGCAACATACCCTCTATTTAAATAAACTATATATAATTTAATATTTTCACACAAATTTAAAAAATATTTGAATTTTAAATTACCAATGTATTATTTTTGTACTATATTATTCTCCATAATTTTTGACCAATTGAATTATCATAAATGTTTTGAAATTTACAATTTAATATTAACTAATGCATTGAAAATATAAAATATGGATTTTTTAGAAACAAGATTTCTAAAACATGTATTATATTGAAACAGAGGGAGTAGTTGTTAAAATTAGTAAATTGTTTTAAGAAAAACTGAGTTGATCATGTTTACAGGATGATTTAATTTTACTCATGTTCGTTATGTTTTGCTCGATCCACATAGTTTTATTGTTTCATATATAGCAACCATATATTAATGATTATTCCGCACTATCTGTTTCGTGCTACTATACGATGATACAACGTAGGTTTGGGGAGTAGTGGAAATTTTTAAAAATTGACAATAAGACAAAATTATAGTGAACTATTATAGACTATAGTGGACGAATGTGATGACAACCCTATATGTTTCCAACCTTCTATCAAAACTGCATGCTAGAAAAGTAAAAAAAAAATACGACGCTGAAATCAAATTCTCTTGTGAGCTGTATGACCTGAAACTGGAATTCGATAGCTCTTTCTTGTTAGTTATTGTTAATTTTTTCACGTGTGAGTCCATCTTAAGAATTACTACAAGGTGTAATATAGTATGAAAATACGTTACAAAACATCAAGTCTCTCTAAAATGTAAACAACTTTTCAGTTCATAAACCTAAGCTTATTAGACTATTCAACACTGAACCGAAAAAATCTTGTTACACTATCACCAACTTGAAAATAGTGAATTTATCAGTTGAGGTTTTACATCAATTACGCCGAATCCTAGTCAGAGACAGACGTAAAACCTTCTCTATCTCTGCATCCATCCATCATAGCACTTAACTGATTATATACTAATGTAACTAATCATATGTTTAATTCTTGGTAAAGAGTTCGAAATTATCCTCAAATATTTTATCAAGCCTTCATAAGGCGAACATCCATAAATACAGTATTGTTGCGAAGAATGTCATCGAGCTCTCAAAAATTCAGAATTTCCTTCGTCGCAATCTTTCACTATGCCATCAGTTATCAACTTATATCATTCGCGTTAGTCTGAGTTCATATCATTCTTCGATAAATCTTGAAAAGACTGAAAAGGGTTTAATAAATAAACAGTGAGAGCATCGTAATGACATGAAAAGGAAACTTACCAGAATCTTTACCAGAAAATTGTGTGGCTCTTCTTATGTGGACGTTGAAACACGTGCGGCTAAACAGGCCAAGCGTCACCACTCACACGTGTATTTAGAGATGTGTGAAAGCGAGGTCTCGAGTATAGCAGGGGGCACCGACTTGTATGCCTCTCCTTCTTGGTGACTTGGTCAACAGTCAAACTTCACTCTCTTGTATTTTTATAAGATTTTGCTTGCATGAAGAGAACCTGCAAACTCATAGCACATGTTCACTGTATTTTCGTCAATCCCTATTTCTACCTTTGGGTGGGTTTCGATCTCTTTTTATTTAGCAACCGTAACGCATGGCCTTTTTTTTATAGAAGAGCATCTCCAAAAAGACTCTCTATTTTAAAGTTTCCAAAACTCTATATTCGAAGTTTCAAGGTGTTCTTTTCCAAAAGAAAAACTTCAAATTTAACTTCAAAATTATTTCTATTTTACATTTTGATCCTTATATTTGTCATAGTTAATATAAATTCATAAAACATTGATAAATAACATACACATATATAAATTATACAACAATATTAATTAATCAAAATTTTACACTAAATTATAAAATTATAAATACAAATACATGATTATTACAAATAGATTACCACATTTTTGTTGTCTAATTTTAATTTTAAAATATTTAAAAATACTAAACTACAAGCAACTATTTTAAATTTTA